AGTAAACACCACAAACAGTCCATCGTTTTATGAAGTACCTGGCAATGTGTTTCTAGGAATGCTGGGTTTATAGATAATATCTGTGACAAAAATTAAACAGATACTGGGAGATAGACTGACAAATAAAGTGGTAGCCAGTCATGAAGATAGATGCCTTGAAGGGGATGGCAAGATGTTTCTCTTCATTCTATAGAGAATAGGATACAATGAAAGAATTTGGGAAGCCAAAGGAGAGAACCTCACTTCTACTTCAGAAAAATAACCACAAAGTACCAATAAGGGAACATTAGTAAAAGAGATTGAGGTGCAGGGAAGTAGGTTGAAAGGCTGTTGTGAAGGTCAGAACAAGGAGGGGAGTCAAGTTGAGCGAACTCCATGGATACACAATGATTTGAGGATTCTTGAAAATGTACTAAGCAGTAAGACAACTAAATGTTGTTAGCTGCAAGAACAAATCAATAAGATTCTAAGATCCCTTAGACATCCTAAAGAATAAAATTATCATAAAGATAGATAACCCAGGAGAAGTGACATATCTGGAACAGAGAAATTCAGCAAGCAGGTTGGAAAGATGGTCAGCAGCTTAGCCAGGGCTTAGGGATAGACTGGAGAAACATTTGCTTAGCAGAAATATGCTAATCATCTAAGTCAAGATACCCCTTTGCTATGGTTATTCACTAAGAAGAAAAGTTTACGATACAAGCTTGAAAGAAATGCATGTGATGGCAGAATAGGAGTCAAAGATTGACTTGGTGAAGTTCCAGATCCAACAGGAAAGCTGAGGATCTTAGAAGAAAAATATCCAAGGAATTTGCATGTCTATCAAACCACCTCTTTCCCTCTCTATGTGGTCTTTTCTATTATGAAATGTAGAAAGAAGCAGAAATTTCAGAGAGAAACTTGAGATCAGATCATAGCCCCGGGCAACTTATTTAATCTTCCTTAGACTCAAATATCTCCCATTCAGTATGTAGATAATTAATCTTTTACCCACTTCACAAATTCACAGTTAGGATCAGGTGAGAGAAATTTATTATAAACTAAAGTTTGCTACTCAGCCATGACCCATCAGCAATAAAAAAGAATGCAGTTAAGTATGGCAAACATTTTCTCTAAAAAATATTTTTAAAAAATCAGTGGCTTTGACCACATATAAATATGCTTTTTAAAAATTATTTGACACCATCCATCTAAATCTTTGATGACTTTAAAATTTTCCTAAACAAGGCTTACCATGAATTAAGATCAAAATGAAAGAGCTGAAATTCAGCCATGCCACCAGCATGCATCAAATATTATTTGCATTTTGTGTTTGCACATTTTCCAGTTTCTTCTGCATTTAAACTTACAAAATAGAAGAAGAAATCAAGCATTGGTAACTAGCCTCTCAAATGAGTTTTCAGTGCTTTCAGCAAATGACCATCGTGTACAGAAAATTATGTTAATGGTAATTGGTGTTCTTGGTGTTGATGGCATTCACCATCATGGTGACATAGATTCTATCTCATTCAGTTAGTTTTGCATATTCTATTAGTATTACAAATTTCTTTACAAATTCACTTTCTGAAATGTCTGCTGTTTTGAACTGTGGTTCTTCAGTATATCAGTCACCAGACAACTTGCATGTACAGAAGGAGAGAAAGAAATTAGAATGATTAACTACTTTAAATTGAGATACCTGTGAGAAACTTTTGGAGCAGTGGACTCATTCATGCAAAATCCAAACATTATAAATTCATTATTTTCTGATTTTAAACCATTAAGACTATAGGGTAGTGCTTGAGCAGTCAATTGCAGAATCTAAAAGACTTGAGCTTTGAAAATCACTTTTAGGAGATTTCACATAAAGAGATTTCACTTTGCAGGGTTTTCCTTCCTTAAATGGAAAACTCCCCGAGAAAGAAGGAAGATCAAATCTGGAAACCATGTTATAATGACCTTAGAATGTATCAGTAGACACAGAGCTTGTGAAAAAGTGGGGGAAATGACTTGAAACCCTTTATAATGATCTCCTAGTGTGAATTCCATGTTAATCTCAAGTGAAACAACCTTGTAACATGATTTATTCATACGAATGTGCTGAAATGATTGCTCTAGAGATTACTAAGGAGTGAACCACTTGTTCAGATCAGGAACAGTCTATACTCTTTTTTAAAAAAAAAAAAAGAAGAAGAAAAGTTAAAAGAAAAAGAAACAAACAGCTGAACAGAGTATCAGAAAACTTCAGAAGTGAAACGCTGTAGGGAGAGGCCACTTTTATGAAATGAAATCTCAGTTGTCATCAGATCAGATTCATCTCTTCCATACTTGTTCTTCCTCAACTTTTACTTCAATTTGAGTTACATGCAGATTGTTTTAATTGATACGGTCCTGTCTCAGGTGTCCCCCTGAAGCCCAGAGAAGAGTTACAATTTATAGAACTGTAGTCTGGACAGCTAGAGGTTAAATGGTCCTCCAAATTCAATATTTCTATTGAACCCATGATCTTTGTGGTACAAAGAAGGTGGAATTATGGAATCCATCCTAGCGAAGATAATGCCACTCATTGGCAGACGGTGGCTCAGGTAAGAGCTTCAAATAGACTTTGATTTTCATCTTGGAGGTAGTGTCTGCTACATACCTATGCACATAAAATTAACTTGCTATGCCGCAAAGTAGCTTGACTACAGAAATTACTTACTCAGATAAGGAATAAACAATATAAGGATGAGGTTCATAGATACAAACAAATATGCTCAGAAACTCAACCATTGGATTAATTTGTCCAAAATACACATAGAAGGGAGATAATTTTATAATCTGCTCACATGTATTTTCTCCAAGAACCACATTTCCCTGAGCCAAACTCAAAGCCAATTAGCGTAAGGAAATGAAACTTCATGAGGACTAATTTGACATTCAATCATCTAAATTCTTTCTCTTCTGTTTCTCCTGCATTTATTCCTTTATCCTACACAGACTTTAGGAGCATGGGATAAGATCTGTCTCACAAAATTACTTATTGGGACATAGCCAGCAGCCCATAAACCTTCACCAGTGATTTCTTCTTTGTCTTAGTCAACTTAAAAACTGATACACCACTTTCATGGCAACACTCCCGGAATTTATCTTAACAGTACTTCTTCCTCTTCTGTCTTGTTGATGAGAAAAGGAAAATGTTTTTATTTTCTTTCTTTTAAGAGCCGTTAAATGCACAACCAGCTGCTACTCACCCCCTCCCACCACACACACACACACACACAAAAACACAAACACAAACACAAAAGAAACCCTACATGGATGTAAAAAGTAACAGACTCTGAATATGAAACTGTTTCATGAGTTTAGACAACTAAAATGCCTTCCCACATTTATGTCTATAGGAAAAAATTCTCACCTTAAGTTGATTAGATCATTTTTTCCAACAACTAGATTCCTATATTTTTGTTAGCAAATGAAAAATAAATGTCAATATTTAGGTGTTTGCAAGAAGAATATTTTCTAAATAGCAATATCTCAAAGGAGTTAAGCACTAAAATGAAACAATGTAAGAACCCCAAAATAAGTAAGAAGTTTGATGTAAAACAACAATATTAAATTAGGGAAAAAAAACTGGTCAAATCAATTTAGTAATTCTATTCTATACTTATTTTAGAAAAAAAAATTGCTTCAATAAAACATTAAGCTACTCAGAATACAGCCTGAAATTCCGTTTGATTTACATGCCATACTTTCCTAAATCATGGTACAGATTCATTTGAAATTTCTCCAACTTACTTGAAGATTTATGAAAATAACTGACAATAAGATCATCTCTTTTACTCCAAAAGATTTTCGGAAAGAAGAAAGCTCCTTTATTATTGTTGTTGTTATTATTTTATCCTGTTAATGCTATATGTAATACCTCCTTGTCTGCTAAATACTGCGGAATACCACGCCGACTTTAAGCTTTTAAATTCACAGCTGAAACTCTAAATGATGAAGTTGAAGGTGTTTTCTCAAAGTTTGCCAAATCAGGTAGAAAGCCATATATAAGAATTTATATTCTTCCTTTGTTCTCAGAAATGTTCTTTTAGATATTGATGTAAACATGACAGTCGTTTTCATGTTCTTATAAGCTGAGGTTGTTATAAACTCAGTTTTTATAAATGGAAGTGTAGGAATGTTCAAATCCAATCCTGTTTCCCTAGTTTCATCCAAAGAGCAAGTTGAGTTTGGCACTTGGTGTAGATGAAGGCAAAGACTGTAGGTGGTTATTTCTTGGAATTCAAGGCAGAGCTTTTCAAGATTTTACTAATGCAAATAAAACACAGAACATTGTTGAAAGCAGGTATATTGTACGAAGACTATTAAAGTTATTTGATGTCTTAAAATTGTAGCTCTAGAAAGAGCAAACCCACTGATCTTCCCCAGTGTCACTTTTTTCTTTTGGGCATTTTATTGAACAAATATATACTAACACATCTCACACTTCATGATCAAGACTGGTTCTTCAGAGTTGTTATGTGATTTACTCAAACGTTGTTTTAAACAGTGGCTCAGGTTATAATTTACTTGCAGAAATTGTTAGTGGTCTTTAAGCATGTGGGTTGTTATAGCTATTTTGACAATTATATTTGGCATGTGAATTAAAAGAATATTTTCTTTCAGTAACCTGAAGATGATTTCATCTTCTTGTCTGTAATGTAACAATGACTGCACATAAATATTCTATACTGATAGATATACACACATAGAATCTCTCAAATGCCATAATTAATCACCATATTTAAAAATAGCCCAAGCTCTTGTCATAAGGTTTTGACTTCAAGAGATGTTTAGTTCTTTGGGGTGAAATATCAGTGGTTCCTTAATCCCTGACAGCTCTCTTCATAACTGGACGTGATAAGCAGCGCTTATCAGAAGGAAGACAGGCTGAGTTGCCATGGCTGATAGGTTAGTATATTTTTCTAAACAGATCCAACCAACATATTGGAATAAAAAATGGCATGTTCCCTGTGCTCTGTGACATGTCCCCTCAGACGACAGATGAGCGAGTTCAACTGACTGACGTAAGACCCAGCTGATGGTACCAGTTTTGAGTGGCTGCTGTGAATGTGCATGGAACTTGAGGCTTCACTGCCCCCAGCAAACACTTCCATTCTTCCAAAGGTCAGCCCTCCTTTTCTTCCCAGACACAGAATACTATCCTTGCTCCCAGGCACACATAGAATGCAGATTCACTGTCTCTATGTTCATATTTATAGTTAGTCAACAGGTGGCTTTGCTGTTTTAGAGAATGGGACCAGATGTGTTTGAAGGTACCATGTACATTTATAGTTAAGGACAAAATTGGAATTTTACCTGCAGTGTATCGTAGAAGATAACATAAGGGAGTTTTTTAAAACTTTGAAGTGGTGAGGGGTTTTCATGATCAACATCTGTTGAGTTTTTGGTTAAAGATATTTTGCATTAAGAAGTATTCAGTTGATTTTCAAAGAGAAAGACTGAATTTTAGCTATTCTAGGCAAAATAGCCTTTCTTGAAATTATTGTTAAATTGAGAGTGAATTTGACTCTTACCTTTGCTTCATAACATCTAGAATTTAAACCCCTCCCAAGTCATTTAATCATTGCTTTAATTTTGTTCAATTCTGACTGTGTTGATATTTTAAAATCTCTGTGGAAACAAATGAACAGTGTGCTACATTTGCGGTTAATCTGTGACGGTTGAAGCAGGTTTATTTTTCTAGTTGTGTCCACATGGCTGTGTACCTTCCAAATTTAGATATCTGCTTGACTAATTATAAGGATATGGTTTCATAGATACATATGGGTTACCTTGTTCTCTTACTAATCACAATTTTTCTTCTTACATAGAAACTAATTTAAATTTATTTTATTTTAAATAAATTTATTGATTGTGACATTAATGAATAATGTAACCCTTTACACTTAAAAGCCTTTAAAAATGGAGGGGGAGCCTTTTTTTTCTTTTTTCTTTTTTCTTCCTCCCAAGGAGGTAAATTCATGAACTAAGCAAACTTTAAAGTGAAATTGTAAATGAAGACATCAAACCATGTCTTAAGACTCTGTCTCCCACTGAAAATTTAATGAGGCAAGTGAAATAATTAATTGTGGGTTAGTAGGTAGTGATCAATAAAAAGTTTCAGAGTGCATCACCTTGAGTTTCATGGTTCAAATGTGATCCAGACATGTTGTGGTCAAAATGTGTTACCATCTGTTCAGTTGTCTGCAGGATTTGGGCTGCTGCTGTATGAACACGACTGCAAAATCAGACATCAGATGGAAGCAGTTCCCAGCCTCTACAGACAGATGCTGAATTAATCTCCTACAAGAATTGTGGTGGCACCTCTTGTGCAATGAAGGCGAGCAGGTGGTTTTGCTCCCATGATTCATTATAGGGCCTTGCTATCCTCAGGATCTGGGCAGAGGTCTTTTGACAGCCCCAGGGTCATGACAGTAGGAAGGCCAAGCTGTCCTGACACTTTCTGGTAATAATCTAGAATGGGAACTGTATCTCCCAAATTTAAGTGGACTTTTATTTATGGAAAATGCAACTATTGCAGTTATCATTAAAATGTTGTTCTGTCATGGTTACAAATACACCCAAAATTCACACTTCCACGTATCTCATCCTGAGGAACATTCCAAGCTTTAGTTCTTCAAATCTTACAAACCAAAAATGTCTGCACAAAATTAATGGAAGATTCCATTACATTTTAAATAAAGATGAATCCCAGAATGACAGGTTTAACATATCAGACAAAGGGTGGTAGACATTCCTTCTATGATCTCTAAAACCGACTTAATCACTAAAAAGTGGGGCCACATCTGTTTCTCATTCTCACCAAACGTTAAAAAGAGCCTTACTGGGAAAAATGCTTTAAAGAACTTTATTGAAATACAATTTTTATGTCATAAAATTCACTTATCTTTAAGTGTACAGTTCAGTGATTTTTAGTATTTACTGACCTGTGCAACCATCACCATCATCTAATTTCTGGTTTTTTTTTTTTGAGATCAACTCTCGCTCTCTCTTCCAGGCTGGAGTGCAGTGGCACAATCTCAGCTCACTGCAAACTCCACCTCCTGGGTTAACGCCATTCTTCTGCCTCAGCCTCCTGAGTAGCTGGGACTACAGGTGTCTGCCACTACGCCTAGCTAATTTTTTGTATTTTTAGTAGGGACGGGTTTCATTGCGCTAGCCAGGGTGGTCTTGATCTCCTAACCTTGTTTTCTGCCTGCCTCGGCCACGATCATCTAGTTTTAGAATGAGTCCATCATCCCAATAATATCCTTTAGAGCTTACTGGGAAAATTTAAAGGTAGAGGTAAAGTTAATTTTGTGTCTTTAGCTTCCTTTATTACCCATGAATCTGAACTGCAATCCTATGGAATGGGAAGTATCCTGCAGCTTGGTACTTGATCTATTTCTTAGAAAAAACTTTTTTTTTTTTTAAAGGCCAAAAGCATAGCAGTCACAGTGATTGATAAATGATTACTCCCTTTGGGAAATAGGACCATCCCCTTAAGCACTGTTTTTCTCAATAGCCTCCTTTTAAGTAATGGGCAATGCTGCTCTTGCAGCAGTTTGTGGTAAAAGAGGCTTGCAGTCATTCTCCACTCTAAACATTTTCTGCAAGCCACCACAGATCCTCAGATCTGCCTTGATTCACCTTTCCCTGTGTTTCCCCTAATCAGCTCAGTTCTATCTTTAACTGAGAATAGTGTTAGCTTCCTAATCACATCCCCACTTCTGCCTCTTGGCTTCTGCCTTTCAGGCTTCTGGATTCCTGTTTCCTGATCCTAGTCACTCATTCCTGCTGTCCGATCCCCACTTCCAGATCCTGGGTTTCAGACCCTGGCCTCTCATCCCTGCTTACCGATTTCCACTTCTGGATCCCCTCCTTTTTAGTCCTCTCTCAACACAGCCACCTGAGTGATCCTACTAAAATCTGCGCCACTTCCCGTCAGTTTTTTGCTCAACGTGTCCCAGCAGCTTCCCCCACCTGACTCAGAGTAGAAGCCATGTTCTTTACAATGGATTTTAAGAGCCACTTGACCCCCCTTTCTCCTTCCTCTTAGACTTCATTGCTACCCTCCCTGTCTTCCTGCTCAATGCACTAGGCACTTCTGCATTCTCTGAACACTATTCTTTCCCTTGCTTCAGGATATTAGCATTTACCTGGTCTTGGACTGGGGAAATGCTCTTCCTTCAGATTGTTGAAAGACTGGCTGGCTCACCTTCTTTATATAAATATCTCTTTTCCAGCAAAACCATCTTTAACCATGCTAGTTATATGTATAAACAAACAAGCAAACAAATCCACATTTCCCGTGTTGTATTTTTTTTTCTTATTTTCTGTTAAGACTGTCTACCTTGCCTTAGTATTTTCCTTATTCATCTTGTCCACGGTGTCTCCTTGCATCCAGTCAGGATGAGTGTGCATGTCGGTTTCTAATAATAAGTAAAAAAGAAAACATATCTACTCTTATATTTTCTTTTTTACTTATTATTCCCACTGCCTAGAACAGTACCTGACACGTAATAGCTGCTCAACAAATCCTTGTTCAATATATGAGGAAATGAAACATGAGTAATAAAAACAGAAGGTAAAGGCAGAAAATTTTGTTGTTGTTGTTTCTATCTTTAAATTTTCTCAGTAAGGCATGAAGGATTGATCTTTTTGGGGTGATGGACTCATTCTAGAACCCAGTGATGGAGATGGCTATGCAACACAGTAAGTACTAAAAAGTCAATGAGCACTTAAGATGAGAGAATTTTATGGTGTGAAAATTACATATTTCAAAAATATTGTTAAAGACATTTTTTCCCAGCGAGGCTCTTTTCTATATTTGATGAGCCTCATTGAGGAAGGTAGGGAAAGAGGTGCCACCATCTTGTTAGTGAAGTGGTTAAGTCTCCTTTAGACATACATATCCTGGAGACAGTGTCTTCCACCATTTTATTGATTCATTAAACTCCTATCATTCTATGATGCACCTTTACTGAAAATGGAATCTACTATGAATTCAGTGTTTACATTTTTGGTTTATAAGAGTACAAGAACTAACACTTGGGATGCACCTCAAACTAAGACTTACAGAAATGTAAATTTTGAGTATTTGTCCACCTGAAGAGCTAGAACAACATATTAATTATGACTGCAATGACTGCTATGTTTCAAAAAATGGTGCATTTTCATCCAATAAATGCCCATTTATCCTGGTTTGCTCTAGACCTGAAACTGTGCCAGTCTTCCAGTGGTTTATAATTACTTTAAAAAAACAATGACCACTTCCATTGTAGCAGTTGTGCAAAGCCTAAGCAATTTTCTATTGTATTTGATTTAGGTAGAGAGCCAGCTTTGACAACTTAAGGCTATGTCAAGGAATGGCGGAAGGGTTTTTTTTTGTTGTTGTTTGTTCATTTTCATTACTATAAATACCTCAGCAAATAAAAGTAAAATTAAACAGAATAAGATAGATAAAATGAGTTCCATTTAGTTTAGACTCACTGCTTGGGATTCATGAGCTATAAAGCTGTTTCTCATGGAAAAGCCAGACTTCTTGTCCTTAACTTCATTGTAGTTTTTTTAAAATACAAAATTAGTATTTGTATTAGTACATTATTACAAATGTACATTAGTACATTTGCCAAAATAGATTGGGTACTATTTAATTTTTTCTTGACCCATTTATTTTCACATAACTTAGACTTAACCCATCTGTTTTTATAGTAAATTCTAAGTTATTCATAGGTTGGTAAATTAGTTTCATGCTTTTCCTCTTCTTGGTGAATACCATTTCTGAATATTTTTATTGCTAACTCTTGCCTTTACCAGAAGAAATGCATGAATATAGAATGGACAAAATCATTAATTTTTGTAAGAGTATGCGATAACGGTTATATTTGTTTATTTAAATACTCTATACTGTATTTCCTCCTGGCACTTGAGAAGGGAAATTTGCTTCAAAACTAAAAATGAGTAATAGTTTAACAGATTAATGCCTAGTTCTCATTTCTACTTTTCATCTCTTTATTAAGAATGTGGGACTGCTTCTTGTACCGAGTAAGTTACCTTCAAAGTACCTCCTGAGCCATCAATCCTGCTAGATCCTAGGGTCTACCTAAACTTTTCTATCCCATTCCATTTGGAACAAACAGCACAAATGCTCTGAGCACAAGGTGTTAGTGTGTCTGCATATTCCTACCTAAGTTGATATTTGCTGCCTTGAAACATAAGTCTGACAAAAAAAAGATTGCCACCAAAGTTAAGACACCTTCAGAATCTGATCCAAGTGAAGGCTTTGAGTGTGAGCAGTTTAGTTAAGAGGAGGTCTAGGAATGCGGTAGGTAAGAAGAGAAGCAGAGCAAGGTGTAGAAGTGTTGCAGGAATGAAGGAGGTCCAAAGAGACCACGGGGTGAAACAGAAGAATTTAATTGACTACAAGCAGACCCAGCGGATTAATATCCAAAAACTGAGGCCAGAGCAAAGATAGCATTTGACTTTTATACCTACTTCAAAAAGTGGCCAGCAGCTTGAAACAAGCTTACAGTGGCATGAAGTGTAGTGACATGAAAACAAGGATAAAGAGGCAGAACAAAGGCAGTTAATCAAATTGTAATGGGTTCATAACTCAGGATTACATGTGACTCTTGCTATGCAGTCCAGATGGCTGTTACCTAGGCTTGCTCTAGTGCCTTGTATGGGTTTGTCTCATAGCCTTCACTACGGTGCCTAGATGGCTGCAGCCCAGGCCTGCTCAGTCATGTCTTACAGCCTTCACTGTGCTGCTTAGGTAAAACAGAATACTTGAAGTTACTACTTATACAAAACAGGAATCTATAAACTCATAAGTTTACTTATATCACAGGAGAAAGGAAAATTTGTTTTCTTCTCCATATGTTGAGGGAGTACTGGCAGAGTCTCCACAGCACATTCCTTTGAGCCCTGTCTTCTTTGACAATATTACTAAGACTTCGCTTGGGTCTGGGCTTTGCCTGTTACTGCTGTTGTGATAAGTCAGCCTAATATAGAAAACTTGTTTGTGGAGCACAAACACCTCAGAGCTCCTCGCTGAAGGGGGTTAATGGTGTTATGGTGTTCTACCACCAGTGCAGTCAGTCACTGTCTGCAGCTGTTCCTAGCAGATCTGGTTTGCATGCTGGCAGAGCTTGCTCTGAGTCCAGACACAGTGTTAGGTAATGAGGTACAGAGGTAATCCCTTTCTAGTTTCTTCTTTTTTTTTTTTTCCTTTCTCATTTCCCAAAATCTGACAAGCTTTACATTATTGCCCACTTCTTGGAATGAGAAGACCACTAATGTCTACACAACAGAGAACTCAAACTTTATGAATAACCAGTTTAGAGTCAGGGTTACAAATACAAAAATACTGTGGGCTCCACATTGCGGTTGTTTATCTTTTTTTCAATAAATTGGTGTTTAACCTTTCCGTGATGTTGTTGATATTTATTAAATGAGTAAAAAAATACATACATTGCTGCTTAGTATTGGAAATGTATTTTGTGTAGTATATAAAAAATAGTATATACTACTTTGCTGAATTTGGGAAATAATGTGTTTGTTTCTGGCTACCATGACCACGTGGGGTCAATATGGGTAGTAAAAGAAGGAAGAGTTCAAATTTTGTGGATTGTATATGGGAAAATCCAAATTCATTTTTTTGGTATGTTGCCAAAAGCAAGCAAACATGTGGTTCATTTGAAATTAGTTATCAATTTGACATTACAAAATAACACACTTTTAAGGCATCTTATGAAGAAACAGGTAAAAATCCAACTTAAATTATCTTTAACCTAGCATAATATCTTTTAGTCATCGTATTCATTTCTCTTCAAACTCCAAGTTCTTCAACTATCTTTTTCCCCTTATTTCCTCATGTGTGTAGGATACATTACAAATGAAAAGGAAGCAGACAACATTGTTTTTACAGCATGTAAGTATCACGTGGATATTACTACATGCATGCATTACTGTGTCAGCAAAATTAGAGCAGACATCACTGGTGGTAATAAAGTTACCTGTTGCTCTGTGAGGACCCATGACTTTTTACTCTGTTCCACAGCTGCTCAGGATGTGCCATTTCCAATGGGCAAAAGGCTTGGCTGTACAAATGTCTTGAAACTATTTAATAGTTGGAAATTTGCCTGTAGTTTAGCTTCAGCAGCTTTGCTAAGATTTTTTTTTTTTTTTTTAATGGAGAAGGAATACTACCCCAACTGCTAAGACTGGAAAGGAAAAAGAAAAGGTTAAATTTTATTAGAACCAAATCTGTGTTTAGTTTAAAACTATGTAACACAGGCATATTAGTGTTTTTAAAATATAACTGCACTTGACAAAAGTTATATACCTTACAAGATATTCTTATGATGCATTTCAGTGGGAAGTTTAATCTATAGACATTATTGATAGAAATGAAATAAGTAAAGTCCATATTCATTTTTTGAAATAGGTATTGTTCTCCGTGTGTGCATGTGCATGTTTCTGTTTGATGATCTATAATTGTTGCTCTCTTTATAGCCTACTTCGTTTTTTTTAATATGCATTTTTTTTTAATGTGGGTTCTGTTCCTGTATTTAACAAATGGTGTTATCTCAAAAAGTCAGAGGAGCCTGCCTCAGAAAAAGTGATGGCATTTCTCCCGGGACAAACAGAAGTGGTCTTCTCCCATGAAATTCCATGTCAGTGCACTAATAGGCCTGCATTTCTGCAAGGGTGACAAGTGATTTTATTGTCACTTGTATGCAACGTAGACTTATAGTCCTTCCATCATGTCAGTCCTTCATACTCGTTAGTTCGTCTGTTTTTGTCATGAAACACGAGAGGTTCAGTGATGAAACTTGAAATTTGTCTTTTTAAAATCTAAATGTTTCATCCTCCTCTGCTGAAAGCACCACATGTGATCATCAATAAAAACTATTTTTCTTCAAGGCTGAAATTGGGTATACATGCTAAATATGTAGCATATTTTACATTGTAATCACACAATTCTATAGCATAGAAGGATCTAATACAGCGATTTCAGTTATCTCTGAAAATGTGCTTGCTCTCTGTAGTGTGTTTCTGCAGATAATTGTGAAGATCATAAGGAAGGAGTTGGCATCAAACAGAAAGAGAAGTGAGCTGGGGCAAAATGCCCAGATTTGAGAGTCAGAGGAAGGGTTAGGAGAGCGCTAGTCTTGTGGTATGACTCCCATCTTCTCACTTGAAGAGGTAGTAAATCAACCTCTGCTCTTGAAGTAGTGAATTAAACTGTGACCCTCAATTTCCGCATCTTGAAAATGAGAACAATAATGTTAACATTTAATAGACAAAATACAACTGTATATTTGTAAAATTAGGGATAAACAGTGCTGACGTCAAGTTTCCTAAACCTAATGGTATAACACTCTGAAATGCTCCCAATCAGGAGAGAGCAGTCTGTGGCCCAGAGTCTAAATTTGGCCTGCCACCTAGTTTTGCAAATAAAGTTTTGTTGGAACATAGCCACACTCATTTGCTTACATATTGTCTGTGACTGCTTTTGAGCTATGAGGGCAGAGTTGCATGGCTGTAACGGAGACCATATGGTCCACAAAGCCTAAAATCTTTCCTCTCTGGCCCTGTTGGGGAAAATACTATCAGTGCCTATACTAGACTATTGTAATAGACACTTTTCCCATTAAAAGACTTTGAATTTTTACATTCTGTAGGGACATTTTCCCTCATTATGACAGTGGAATATGACATATGTAGAGTGTGACTCATAGAGTTGTGTATTGTTACACCCTCCACCTCATCTTTCTCTCATTTTTGTTGTCACACTTCTTGTTCTGCCATCAATGATGTGAATGACCTTGGACATATCTGTTTACCTCTCTGACCCCTAAAACCCTCACCAGTTAAAAAAATGTGAAATAAGTTGTAAAATTTCTTAGGGCTTTATAATAACATACAGTACAGAGTTTCCCTCCCTGGCTCTCTGGCTGCCATCAGCCACTGTCTATGCATATGTATATCTATATATGTGTATGCATGTATGTATGTGTATGTATGTGTGTATATATATGTAAATTTCACATGGAAATATCCAGCTACATTTCAAAATTCTGAAACAATTAAAATATGCATAAGGAAAGAAAATATTCTGTATAATTCAGTCAAATGAATATACCTTGTTTCATAATGTAGGGAACCAGTTTTGAAGGCAGAGAATGGCTTAAATATATGAGTATTTAAGTATCAAGTACTTAATACTTAACTGTTATCAAGTATTAAGTATAAAGAATGAGTAAAATGCTTCAGATTAGACAAACTGGATTGACCCTGTCTCACCTGAACCCCATAGTGAATAGGTAGATAAATGAATGGTTAGTTTACAGAGGAGAATCACGGCAATAAACAGGTGATCTCTGCCATTCTCTTTTGGTTTTATTTTCTTTTTGTTCTTGTTTTTTTAAGAGACGAATGTCACTATGTCATCCAGGTTGGAATGCATGGGTGCAGTCATACGTCACTATAGCCTTGAACTCCCAGATTAAAGCAATTCTCCTGCCTCAGCATCTTGAATAGCTAGGACTACAGGCACATGACACCATGCTCAGCTAATTTTACTTTTTCTGTAGAGATAAGGTATTTTGCTATTGCCTAGGCTGTCCTCAAACAGTCCTCCTGGCCTCAAACAGTCCTCCTGCCATAGCTTCCCAAAGCGCTATGATTACAGGCAGGAGTCACCATGCCTGGCCTGGTTTTACAATTTTATAGTGATTGTTTTGAGGGAGAAAGAGATGGGAGTGCATCATCTTGGTAATGGAAGTGTGCCATTTTGGTATTATACACTCAAAATGGGCCTTCTTTTTGAGAAAATTTCAAGAAAATATTATTAATTCATATCTTTGAAAGCATTGTTTTCTCAAAAGTTATTTTCATAAATTGTGTTGTTTCATGTTTTATAATGTTTCATAAACTAGATAGTATTATTCTGGGTTATTACAATAACATCTAAGAAAATTTTCCAGGGCAGGAAATGATGTAATGAATGATATAAATTAAAGAGGATGATTAAATTCCTAGTACCAGTGACCTTCTTAAATATTGGAGTTTCTTTAGAAGAGGAGATAATTTTGAGGTTTTCCTTATGAACCTAGAATATCTGGAAAATTCATGTGACTACTTATTTTCATATGTAGATATTCAGGTGCATTGCTGAGAACATTAATGGCTGTTATTATCTTTACACATTTTAATTCTTCTCTTGCCTTGAAGTGATGATTCACTTGTAAATTGGTTCCCTCTTAGGAAGGTTGGTAGCTCCCTTTTATAGATTAAAGATTGACTCCTACACCAGAGGAAGGGGAGTTTGTTTAATTGTTTTATTTCAAACTGGGAAGAACACTCCTTTGATTTTGCAGTTCACTTTAGGATCTTGTTATTTAGCAATTCTGATTGACAGAGTTTGAACCTGAAACTGGAATATTACATTACAAATCAAAGCTAACATTTAGAAGCCTGTCCTTCATTTATTCATTAAGCAATTACTTACTGAGCACATACTGTGTGCTAGGTACTCTTCTGGACTCTGGAGATACAGATGTGAAAAAACAAACAAACATTCCTCCTTTCCAGGAGCTTTCATTATTGTGAGTAGAAGCAGACAGCAAATAAGGTATCTAATAAGTCAGTTTGTGTGTTAGGGTTCTCTAGAGGGACAGAACTAGTAGGATAGATGCATATATAAAGGAGAATTTACTAAGGAGTATTAACTCACACAATCACAAGGTGAGGTAACAAAATGAGGCCATCTGCAAGCTAAGGAGCAAGAAAGCCAGTCCAAGTCCCAAAACCTCAACAGTAGGGAAGCTGACAGTGCAGCCTTCAGTCTGTGTTCAAAGGTCCGAGTCCCAAAGCTGAAGAACTTGGAGTCTGATGTTTGAGGGCAGGAAGCATGCAGCACAGGAAGAAGATGTAGGCTGACAGACTAAGCTAGTCTAAATTTTCCGCATTCTTTTCCCAGCTTTTATTCTGACTGCACTGGCAGCTGATTAGAATGGTGCCCACCCAGATTGAGGGAGGGTCTGCCTTTTCCAGTCCAATGACTCAAATGTTAATTTCTATGGCAGCACCCTCACAGACATACCCAGGAGCAACACTTTGCATCCTTCAGTCCAATCAAGTTGACACTCAGTATTTACCATAACAGTTAGTAATAAGGGCTTGGAGAATAATGAAGCAAGGCATAATGATGGTGACTTTTTTTTTTTTTTTGGAAATGGAGCATATATAACTATTGTAAATAGGGTCACATTTAATAGACCTGCAGCAGGAAAAGGAGCCAGCCATGGAGGCATCAGGGAAAGTGTTTAGGCAAATGGAGAGGAAAAACTTCAGTAGTATCCCAGTTTTCCTCTCCAAGAAATAGCATGGGAACCAGTGTGGCTGGGCTGAGGTGCAGAGGTGATCAAAGGAAAGGTGCTCTGGGAGGTGACTGAGGCACAGGTTGTAGGCCATTCAGGAGACTCCTAGTGGTTTTACTCCAAGTAAGGGGCTTCTGCGCACAGGAGTGAGATAGTATGTGCAGTATAGAATCATTAGACCATTGTATTCAGAAAAACCTCTAGGGAGGTAGTGGGGAGCTTTTGGCAGTAGTCAGGGAGAGGGATTGGTGACTTGGCTCAGGGCATTGGAAGTGGTGAAAGGCAGTTAAATTCCTGTTACACTTTAAAGGTAGTGCTAACACAGTTTGTTCAAGGGATGTGACTGAAAAATAAATGTATGACTTCGAGGGTTGGGGCCAGAGCAACTGGAAAGAGCAATTCCATGTACTGAGATGGTGGTGGTGGTGGGTTGTGTGTGGTGGGGTATGTATGGGTGGTGGGCTGTGTGCAAGGATCGTGGTTTTGCTTTGGGACACATTAGTTTTGTGATGACTCTGAGACCTCCAAGTAGAGCTGCTGGAAGATATTTTTTGAGTTTTGATATTTGAATGAGTGGATCTGCCTACAGGGGCATGGTCTACAGTGAAAATATCAGTTTGAAAGTCATCAGCACAAAGATGTTTTTAAAAGTGTGACACCCAATGAGATCCCTAGAGAACGAGTGTAGATGAGAAGAGAGAGACCCCTGAATTCAGATGTAGAACACTCTCCTGTCTAGAGATGATGGGATGTTAAGGATCACGGAGCATGGGGCTGAGAAGTAGCTTCCATTGAAACTGAATGAAAATCTATTAGTGTCCTGAAAAGCAAGTGAAGCCTGCATTTTTAAGAGAAGAAAGTGATCAGTGTTGTCAATATTTATGACTGAGGGAGTCCTCAGATGGCCCTGCCAAACCTCCAGGTTGGGGTGCTTCCCATCCTAATAACAACATGAGCAAATATTTCCTCCTTACATATTGTGATGTTCAGACCTCATGGTTTATAGCCACCTGATGTAGTACTTGTCTACTTTTGACCCTACTAGATGACTTTTGTTAGGTCATCTATCACAGTATTACCTGTGTGTTTCATATGTTTCATATAAAATATTCCTGGGTCCCACCTGCACTCAGGAAATCAGCATATTCCAGTATAAGTGTTGGACATTCCAGAGATTCCTGATATTGAATAAGAACGGGTTGATTCAGAAATACCATTTGATCCAGCAATCCCATTAATGGGTATATACCTAAAGGAATATAAATCCTTCTATTATAAACATGCATGCACACGTGTGTTCATTGCAGCACTATTCATAATAGCAAAGATGTGGAATCAACCCAAATGTCCATCAACAGTAGACTGGATAAAAAAAAAAAATGTGGGACATAGACACATGGAATACTATGCAGCCATGAAAAGGAATGAGATCATGTCCTTTGCAGGGACATGGATGGAGCTGGAATCCATTATCCTCAGCAAACTAATGCAGGAAAGAAAACAAAACACTGCATGTTCTCACTTGTTATGGGAACTGAACAGCTGAACAATGATAACACAGGGACACATGGAGGGGAGAAACACATACTAGGGCTGCTGGGGATGGGGGTGGGAGAAGAAGAGCATCAGGAAGAACAGCTAATGGGTGCTGGGCTTAATATCTAGGTCATAGGTTGATCTGTTCAGTATACCAACATGACATACATTTACCTCCATAAAAAACATACGTAGACTGCACGTATACCCTGGAACTTAAAAGTTGATTAAAAAGAGAGAGAGAGAGAATGACTTGACTTAACAGTATCACATAATATGCTTTCAATTAGCCTCTTACCTAAAAAATACAATGAAGCTTTCTTTTGTAGAAAACAAAAGAACCTAACTAAATGTCCAGACATTATATATCATAGAGGAAAGCAAGAACTTCCAAAAAATAACTTATGTTTCCATCATTTCAAAACCACAAACAACTGAGACTAAAAACATGGGATTTTTTTCTCCAGCCTTCTTCATTTGTATCAAGTTAGATATGACTTTTTGGAGCTCCCAACACAGATGGCGTTAGAATTATTGACAGCATCTTCCTGTGACAGCGTCTTGAAATGAAACCCTCTGTAAATCACTGGTGGTGGGCAGCATCTCCACTTGCTCAATTTTTAACAGAAAATGAAATAAAGACCCTCCAGTTTTGCTATATTTAGTCTTATTCCAATACGTATTTTCAGTGGAGATTTGTGCGTTGGTAATTCTAGCACCTGACCTTTCTCTTGACATCTGAAAATGTTTTCATTTATGAGACAAACCAGAAATGGTACAGTCACAAAAATGAATGCTACTGGTAAGTCATCCAGTGTACAGTGTGGATAAAAAATGGTGCAGTTTTTTTTTCTGATCTATCTTTATTACTCTTAGCTGATGCAAAACTCACTAGCTACAGGGCCACTAAGGTGAAAACAATTATTTGTGTGAGCTGAATTTCTTTTCCTTTTTAGAGTATTCAAAGGTATTCTCTGTTGCTTACCTATTTAATGTCAATTCACACACATTGAATTTTATTGTATTTTACAAAAAGGTATCAATTTCAGCACGTTAAAAATTTGGCTGGGTTGCCTTGGTATGGAAATACCTAAAATGATCCTTCTGGATTACAAATTTGGAGCAAACAAATTACCTTACCATTTTTTAGATTTTTATTTTGAGGCTGAACAAGGAGATCTTACTTGATAACTTATTTTCAGCTTCACTTTTCTTCTACGTTTTTGGAGACAGTGTCTCAATCTCTTGCCCACACTGGCATGCAGTGGTGCTAATCACAGTTCACTTCTGCCTCCACCTTTTCAGATCAAGTAATCCTCCTGCCTCAGCTTCCTGAGTAACTGGGACCACAGGCATGCACTCTGCCCAGCTAATTTTTTATATTTTGTGGAGACAGGGTTTCACTATGTTGCCCAGGCTGGTCTCAAACTCCTAGGCTCAAAAGATGTGCCCATTTCTGCCTTGCAAAGTGCTAGGATTATAGACATGAGCCCTCATGCCCCCCTCTGTTTTCAGGTTTTCTACTTATAAAAAACAATGCTTCCCATGTTGACTATGTACTCATTACATGTCCAAAGATGTTAGTTTTTGAAGTCATATGATGTGTCTTTGTTCTGGGATTTCAGATCCATCTGGCCCACCAGCACCTGCTAACCTCCGGCTGACCAACTCCACCGTCAACAGTGATGGCAGTGTGACTGTCACTATAGTTTGGGATCTTCCCGAGGAGCTGGACATCCCTGTGCATCACTACAAGGTCTTTTGGAGCTGAACAGTCAGCAGTAAGTCTCTTATCCCAACAAAGAAGAAGTGGAGAAGGACTACAGGTGGGGTGAGTGGGAACTGGAGGAAGGACTGCTCTCACAAAAGGTATTTCCACTCAAGGCAACTGGCCTAAAAAGAAACCTCTGCTAAACTGAGAGATGCCATGGATGCAGGAAAGCTTCCCTCCCATTCATTTCTCTGCTGAGGAAGTTCACAAAATGCAGGGGCATGCCAGCTATTTCACCTTTTTTATTTTAGGCGCAACAACTGCATTTAGACCATTGACCTACCCCTATCTAAATGACAGTCACAACTCCAGAAATCAAAGAAACAATTTAAATAGTCCCCATCTTATCTGTCTGGTCATAGAAATGATATAATGCAAAATGTGCTTCAGTTTTTTACTTTTAGGTTTTCTTTCTTTCCTTTTGTTTTTGAGGGAGAGATCCTAATAAATGGAAGAGCAAATGTTCAGGCTTTTCTGTTGCAAGGTGTTTCCGTCTGTAATCTAATCACTGGGCAGTAAACAGTGTAGGAAGGGTATGCCTCACAATGTGTTCTTCTCATTGATTAAAGGGATCTGGAATGGTTTATTCACCAGATGCCAAGAAATAAAATCTTCATTGAACCATTTTATTCAATGAGACTCATGATAGCAAACATCTTGTATCATTTGGAATGCTTACTGCATAAAAATAGTTATTGGGATTCCTTTTATTATACATTTCTTTATGTTGTTGTTATAAAATTTACATAAACAACTTTTCCCATCACATGTAAAGTTGAATTCCATAGATAAACAAATGTTTAGAAATGAAAAGAAAGCAAGAGTATTTCTTGCACGAAAGATTTCAATATCCCCTCTAGAAGTATAAAACATGTCTCAAAAAGTCCATATTATTGATATTTAGTTATTATACTATTTTCACTTTATTTTTTATTTTATTTTATTTTATTTTTTGAGACAGAGTCTAGCTCTGTTGCCCAGGCTGGAGTGCAATGGCCGGATCTCAGCTCACTGCAAGCCCCGCCTCCCGGGTTCACGCCATTCTCCTGCCTCAGCCTCCCGAGTAGCTGGGAGTACAGGCGCCCGCCACCTCGCCCGGCTAATTTTTTTTTGTATTTTAGTAGAGACGGGGTTTCACCGTGTTAGCCAGGATGGTCTCGATCTCCTGAACACGTGATCCGCCCGTCTCGGCCTCCCAAAGTGCTGGGATTACAGGCTTGAGCCACCGCGCCCGGCCTTCACTTTATTTTTACAAAATTTTTTGACAGTTCCATCTTTCATATTGAAGGATTTTGCTGCAAGTAACAATGGTAATGCACACTGATCTTATGAGCTGAAAGAGCTGAAATTGGGGGATCACTTAGGAATCTAGAACAAAAAGTGACATGATGAAATGCTGATAGGTCCCACCCGCCAGTCCCCTGCCCAATACATTATGAAAGAAAATCTTGAAGGATTTTATCAGGTTGATTTTTTTTTTGTTATAGCTTTTGGTGGAAATTTGCTCTTAGTAAATTCAAAACAGATATCAAAGAATTATAATTAATTCCAGTTCATAATTTTCCCACATATGTGGCAACATAAACCTCTGTTACTTTATTACAAACAGCTCTCTTTTCTCCGAGAAGTGGTGTTTCAGAGAGGAGAAGGCTCAAAATGATTCATTTCCATACTATCTCAGAGGATGGAATAATTGGTTTCAAAACATTATTTTCAAAATACATTTGGCCATTCTATGAAGTTTATTTTTATTTTTTATTTTATTCTATTTTTTGAGAAAGGGTCTCACTCTATTGTCTAGGGTGGAGTACAGTAGTGTAGTCATAGCTCAATGAAGCCTCAACCTCCTTGAGCTTAAACATTCTTCTTGCCTCAACCTCCTAAGTAGCTGAAACTACAGATGCACACCACCATGCCCAGCTAGCTTTTTTTTTTTTTTTTTTTTTTTTTTTTTTTTTGTAGAAACGTTGTCTTGCTATGTTGCTCAGGCGTTCTCAAAATCTTTGGCTCAAGTGATCCTCCTGCCATGGCCTCCCAAAATGCTGGGATTGCAGTGATGAGCCACCACACCTGACCTGAGGTTATTTTGATCAGCAGTAAAATTGGATTTTCACATTACAAACTTAAAGAAAAATTGGCAAAAGATAAATCAGAACTTGGTATGCTTCATAATGACACATGAGATTTTGCAATGAAGATAAGAGGTGTGGAAGGTTTGCATTACGGTTTGGATATATTCTCTTAATTTCTAGTTTCAAAATTCTGTGATCCTGGAGAAACTCCAGCCAAACTGTGACTATGTTGTGGAACTGCAGGCCATAATGTACTGGGGACAGACATGGCTGAAGAGTGCAAAGATGTCTCCTCACTTCACATCCACACATGCAGCCAACAATAGTTAAGTGACTGTGTCATGTTTTCCGAGCTGATCATGACCTAATAGGCACAATATTATGTCAAGACACTATGGAGGGAGAGTGAGTTTTTGATTTGGGATAATTACATGGCAAATCTTCTTACCCACATGCATGTGACTATAGTGTTTAAACTACGACGTACAAAACAGTTTGACTTTTGAATTAGTTTTTAAGGTTTTTTTCTATTGTAGGTGCAGTTTTGCTGTTGTGATGGAAATTTAAGAAAATTTACTATGTCTCATTCTAACAGATTGACTATTTTTATGTTTACATGACTTGCACATATATATACTTGTTTTTAAGGAGAATGTGTCAGTTAAACTGTTATAAATTGATGTTATTTCTGCTTCCACTGTTTGTGTAGTTATGTATACAACACACATATATTTGTGCAATTATTTTACATATTTACTTCCCAAATCAAAATTGGGTACTTTAAAGCCAGAGACTAAAATACATCATAGTACTGGGAATAGTGTGTGTACATATATAGGTGTGGAGGGGGGCCACAAAACATGTGGCATGCCTGTGTTTCTTAATACTACACTGGTCAAATTACTGCTTGAAATGTTATCTAATGTTCCATTGAGTGAAGTTACCAAATAATTCCCATATTGCTTTTCCCTGTTTCTTTTTTTCATACCTAGTATGTTAGTATGTTTGCCGGGAACTAAGCAAAACAAGAGAAGAGTCTTATATGACACTCATACGTGAGTCAGAGAATAAGTTACTTGATGTTTTTGGCTTAATGTGGATACTGGTTAGAACTGTCATGTAGAGACTCCTGGCAAGGTTTTGGGGAACCGGGACAAATTAAATGAGAGTAAGAGGGAGGAGCCATTTGTCTCACCGGCTCCTTTGATGTTTATTATTTTTAGGCTAGCAGGACCCTGTCATTGTAGCTGCCTTTGATCAGGGCAGTAGGCCTCATTCAGAAGGGGAAGAGAATGTGTTAAACATTTGTCTGAATTTAGGAAAGGCAGTGATGGACCTGCAGAGAGAGGCACAGGGTTTACTTATAATGACCTTCCACCCCTGGGAAAATGTAGTATCCAAACAGGCAGGTTTATTTGAAATACTGCATCCAAAAATGGTCCAGAACCCGAGATTTCTATCTGTTTGAGAAATGGTCTCTGGAGATGAAATGCATTTGATATGGTCAATTTTTATGTGAGTCTTGGTACAATGTAGTTTTCACCTAGAAGTTATCATGGAAATATTTGTGTGTTTAGTAACGTTATTCATTTTTAATCCAGTCATCCATCTGCTCATCACACTGAAATTGTGTACATATGAATTATGACATCAGTGTGTCTAATACTAGGAATACTATACTATATTATATATATGTACACACTATATGCTGTAATACAGTATATAGACTTTATATATACTGTATAGTATATATGTTCCATAATTTTCTATATAGTGTGTACATAGGTGTATTATATATGTACACATATGCATACATATACATCTGTCTACAAATACACCTGAACACTCAAATACCTATCCAAATGTACACACACACACACATATAGAAACATATACACTATTCCCAGCACTGTGACATGTTTTGGCCCCACCTTAAAAGTGCCTGATTTTGAATTTGAGAGATAAACATGTAAAATAATAACAAAGATCTGTGTGTTGCATACAGACAGAACTACAGGAAACAGTGGAAGCAGAAATGACCAACATGGTGGTGGAGAAAGAGAGTGACGTCATCCTTCATGAAGTCCTGAAGAGTGAGCAACCTGTGGGCTCACAAGGAATGGACATCGTTCCACACAATGCAGCAGCATGGATGAGTGTAGAGAGTTAGAGAAGCACATTGTATGGGCAGAGAACTCAGCACAAGGAAAGAATGAAGGTGGATAGGTGGCTGATCTGTCCTCTTCAGCTGTCATTCATCTCTGAATTGCAGAGACTTCGCCACTATCTGATGACTCTGCCCTCTCACCCTGACCACTCTTTGAACTCCAGAGACCTGCCTTCAGGAACCCACTCAACATCTCCACTTTGATGGCACATATTTCAAATAAAATGTTCATGCGTGAGCTCTGGATTTTCACCCATACCTGTTCCTCTGCTGGGCTCTCCTATATCAATAAATGGCACCAACATTCACCCTTTTGCTCAAGCCAAACATTCAGAAGTCATTCTTCATTATTCTCGCAGTTGTTTCTTTCCAGAAATCCAATTCTTCAGGAAGTCCTCTTTTCTCTAATTTTAAATTCTGTGCAAGAATTCTGTGTCTAATTATTTCCCTTGTTCAGTCTATTGGCCTCTCTTTCCTGTAAATTAAAATAGTCTCCTAATTAGTATTTCTGTTTCTGTTCTTTCTTAAATATCCATTCTTTAGAGAGCAAAGTAACTTTTAAGAGAGATAATAAATCTCTCTCTTTTTAGAGTGCTATTTTCAAGACAGTTACCTAGTTATCTTCACTTCTCACTTTCCCCAAAACTTGATCCTTCGCTACATTCTTCCATATTCCTTCTCAATCCCCTTCTTAGCCAAAATTCTGTAAATTCCAGCTTCGTGCAAGCACTGTCTTTTTCCACTGGTGGTGGGGATTTCAACTATTGTATA